ATGGTTGGGTCCTTCGCCAGGCTAATTTCATTCCAGGCGGTGCTCCTCCTCGCCACCGAAACCGCCGTCCCGACAAAAACCAGCGCTCCCGCCCGAGACGTCCTCCCGTTTTGCGCTGGACTGGCGCCCTACTCTCTTTTGAATCGGCGCCGCTCCCAGCAAGAACAACGCTCCCGCTCGAGGCTTCCTCCCTTTTTCCTCAGGACGTGCTCTTTCTCGCCGCCGACAGCCCCCATCCCGACAAAACCACGGCTCCCGCTCGAGACTTCCTCCATTCTTACTCAAGGCGGTGCTCCTCCTCGCCGCCGACAACCGCCGTCCCAACAAAACCAGCGTTCCCGCTAGAGACTTCGTTTTGTTTTACGCTGGACTACCGCCCTGCTCTCTTCAGCGCCGCTCCCAGCAACAACAGCGACCCTGCTCGAGACTTCCTCCTTATCTATTCAGGGCCAGGTCCTTGCCTAGCCGCCGATAGCCCCCACCTCCACCGAGGCAATCCTGTCGCTCGATACTTCCTTGTGCTTTACCGTTGGCTGGGGGCTCCACTGGCGGTCTCGCATCGGCGCATCAAGGCGCGGGCATGCGTTTTCGAGGCGGGATATGTTGAAATTCTTCGGAGGAGGTGTTTGCAAGACCTCATTGGGCGGGAGATCTGGGAAAGGGAATAACGGACCCCGCTACATAACAATAATCCCCTATGATGGGGATGGTTATCATGATGGTCCATGCTTCGTATGGAAACATGTCGCACGAGGGTAACATGATGTTTGTTATTGTTGCTGCTGTTGTTGTTCTTGTTGTTGTTGTTGTTATTGTTGTTGTGGTTGTGGTTGTTGTTGTTGTTGCTGTTATTGTTGTTGTTGCTGTTGCTGTTGTTGTTGTTGTTGTTGTTGTTGTTGTCGTCTTGTTCCCGAGTCAGGCTTGCCTACGGGGTTCTTTCTTGGTTCAAGGTTGGTGCCTCGGGTGGCTACTGTGCCCGTTGCCTGGAGGTTCCCCGGGTTTCTCGGGTTCCCCGGGTTTCCCGGGTTCCCCGGGTTCCTCGGGTTCCTCGGTTTCCCTTAGGTTCCCCGGGTTCCCGGGGTTCCCCGGGTTCCTCGGGTTCCCTGGGTTCCCCAGGTTCCCCGCCCCCGGTGCCTCGTATTCTTTTTGTGCCCGTTCCAAGCAATGCCGATCAATGCCAAGCAATACCAAGCAATGCGAAGCAATGCGAAGCAATGCCAGGCAGTGCCAAGCAGTGCCAAGCAGAGCCGAGCAATGCCAAGCAATGCCAAGCAATGGCAAGAAATGGCAAGCAATGCCAAGCAATGCCAAGCCGTTCCAAGCAATCAAGCGCTACGCCCACGCAATGGGAAGCTTTTCCCTAATTGGGGTCGCGCAGGGTTCATTTTCGCTTACTTGGTTTTGATGCTGAGTTTGGGGAGAGTGGGCGCAGCGGGCGGGACGCAGTCATCAGAGTTCCTTCTCCATCCGAGCGAAAAGATGTACCAGGATTCTGCCGTCTACTCCATGGTGGCCGGCCCCAGGCGAGAGCCGTATGTACATGTGCGCGCGGGGCGGGTGGATCCAGCTTCTCTACACTGTGAGCTGGCCTGGACCGCGCGCTCCCGCTTGACTTTCTCTACGCCTCGCCGCCGCGCGCGTGGCCGCGACGCGACAAAACTGTGCGCGCGGGAACATGCTGCGTGAGCTGGCCCAGACCGCATGCTGCTGTCCGCTTGACTTGCCCTACGCCGCGCCGCGAAGCCGCGCTGTCGTGACGCTAGGCTGTGTGCGCTCAGGAGGGAGGGCTCGATGTCGGCGGCTCGCGGCGAGTTTGGAGGCAGGGAGTTCGAGGGCCTCTGGCTCTGGGGCCGCAGGTCTTGGCGAGGTCGGTGCGCTCCCCCGTGTGTGCCGACTATGAATTCGAATTATGCTTTTCAGATGTTGAGCCCACATCATCATCAGCACCACCATCATCATCCTCATCGTCATCGTTATCCTCATCGTCATCATCACCATCATCATCTCCATCATCACCATCATCAACATCACCACCATCATCAGCACCACCATCAGCATAACCATCGTAACCCTATCCATGCACATTATCAGCATTACCATCCCCATCATCATAATCATCACAATCACCATAACCATTATCACCATTGCCATCACCATCATATTGCTGCCCGCGGCTTTTTGTGGCTCTCTTTCGGGCCGCACTTCCATTCTCAAGCTTCTCAGGTGTCCTGCCCAGGAATGCAGGACCTCGCCCACCATGCTGCGGACGTCCTGAGGTTCGGGGCGCAGGCACTGGGGGCCTCGCTGGTGGCCCGCGCTTCGGCTCCCAGCTGCGGGTCTTGCTCCCCGCATTTGGCGTGTCCCGCGCCGCCGACCCTCTCCTGCCCATCCTGCGTGTGCGCGGGCGCGGGCGGGCAGGTGGTCGAGCCCTCGTGCGCGGGCATCGTGGCGGCGTACGCTGTGGCCGCCTGCACGGTCGGGCTCGCCGTCGGCGCTGGTGCAGGCGTCCTCGCGGCTCGTCGTGCACTTGCTCCGCCGCTCGAGCCCACGGGTGGTGAGCTGCCCACGGAGGTGATCGACATCGACACGCTCGCTGCCGAGCAGGTGAGGCTTGCTCGCCGCCGAGCCCCAGCACTTCAGTGATGGCGGGAGGCTTCCACGCTATTCGCTACCGCGTGGGAGGGGTGGCTTTGTGGCACGAGCGCTTAGTGCTCGGGGTCTCGGCGGGGTTCGCGTATGTCGTCACGCCCGACTTCGACGACTACGATGAGCCGATCGTGGTGGGGCCCGACGTGCGGGCCGTGCTGCCGCTGGCTGGACAGGGCGACACGCCTGCTGCGCTGGTCGGCGCCGCAGTGCATCGATTCAGACGCTTGCCGACGGCCGCGGAGCTGTGGGCTGCCGTGGGTCGCTCCGTGGCCGCGGGGTACCCGAGGCCAGCGGACCCTCTTCTTCTGGCTCTCGCGGCGGGCAACGCTGCAGGCGCGCCTCCAGGGCCCTTCCCGCTGGCGGACCCAGCAGCTGCGGCCGCCGCCCCGCCTGCGCCGCCTCTCGCCCTACCACCTGCGGGTGGTCCTGCTGCTCCCGTCCCGCCGGGGGCCGCCCCTGGAGTCGCGGCGCTGGCCGCCGCTCTGGGACCCGTGCCACCTGGCCCTGCCGCGGCGCCGCCGCTGGCGCCTGTGCCTGGAGCTGCGGCTGGTGGCGCTCTCGCGGTCGATGCTCTTCCCGTTCCTGCTGGCGACTTCAGGGTGCTGCCGATGGCGATCAACCAGCGGGGCGAGCGCGAGCGGAGGTTCGGCGAGACGGTGAACGGCCTCTCAGAGACCGAGGTGGTGGGCTGGCCCATCCAGGGCCCGCGTACTCTTCTCTGGTGCTTGTCCTTTATGTCAACCATGGCGGGGACGCCCACCGCGTGGCATCAGCGGTGGCTCACGGCCATGGCCCTGGCCGACGACGACGAGTACGCCAAGCTCCATGAGACCCTCTGTCGGGTCTTAGACCTCGCCGTGGTCTACGACCAACTGCAGGTGGCGGAGATGGCGTCCTTCGAGGTCGTCGCACGTCAGCTTCAGCTGCTGGAGGAACGTGTGTACGAGTCTCGCTCGGCGCCCCCGACGGCTGCCGCGCCCAAGGCCAAGTCTGGAGCCAGGAGCGCCGCGACGGCCACCGCCGTCAGCATGGCCGAGACGAGCTACTTCTTGGGCGCGGGGGTCTCCAAGGCCAACTTGTGCATCTCTCCGAAGCTGCTCGAATACATCGCAGATCAGATGAAGGCGGAGGCCGCCATCAGCAAAGAACGACGCAAGGCGCGTGAGGAGCGTGCCTTGCGGGCGCCATGATATCTGAGAAGTCCAGGCCTGGCTGTGGGGCGCGCCTCAGTGGCGCCAGCCAGGCGCATTGCCCCAGCGCTGCTCATCAAGTTCGGCAGCGTGATGTTTTTCCTCTCCGTCCTATCCCTGTGGAGCGACGATCTGGTATCGCGTCGATGGGTGGTTCAGCCCGCGGACGGGCCGCCAAGGGTGCTGCCTGGAGAGAGTGGTACAACGATGCCGTGTCCACCCTCAACGACATGTACCATTGCGACCCTGATGATATGGCTACTCCGCCTCCAGGTCTTCCTCCGCGCGCTCGTAGCGACGCTGAAGAGTATCTTGCTCAACAGTTTCGCGATTTTGAACTACCTCCTGGATATTCCGAATCTCCGATCAAATGCGAGGCAGCCCTGGCAGAGTTGCTCGCGTCGGCGCCTGGATACTCTGGTGAGTCTCGGGTGAGACCCTACGACAAGGAGCTCGTCTCCTGGCCGAAGCACGTGGCCCCCGTTCCCACGGTCGATCTCGTGTCCGACGCCGATCGTTCAACGTTTTCAGGGTGGAGGCAACAAATGCTACGTGATCCCGCGGAGACAGCTACTCTCAGGAAGGACTCGGGCATCGGTTCGCCATACGTGGATCCTCGCCTTCGGTTTCGCCTTCGGGAGTATGCTGATTTTTTGCTGCGCTTGGATCAGGCTGGCATGCTAGAGTGGGAGGTCGCCGAACGTCAGGCGCCCTACTCCACAGGCTTCTTCTTCGTCGAGAAATCCAATGGGGTCAACCTTCGGCTCGTCTTCGACACGCCGGTTGCCAACATGTCTTTCTCTGCCCCCCCTTCTACGAGATTGCCGACTCCGTCGGCATGGAGTGCACTCGAGGCTTCGGATGACTTCTACGTGGCGCAGGGTGACATCCAGTGCGCATTCTATCACATGAAGTTGCCGCCCCAGCTGCACAGATATTTCTCTCTGCCAGTGGCCCCGAATCGGTACTTGGATTTCAAGGCGATCTATGGACTGAAGCTCCCCACGAAGGCCTTCTTACAACCGTTTGTGTCTGTGATGCCGATGGGGTGGTCGTGGGCTCTCCACTTTTGCCAGTCAGCCTTAACCGCAGCCATGCGCGACTCGGGGATCGACGATGATGCGATGCTGGTAGACGGTTCAGCACCTCGTCCTCTGCGAGACCATGGCGACATCATCGCAGCTGGCTACGTGGATAACTTCGCCACCGTCTCACTCAGTCCAGAAGTTGCCGCCGCTTCGTGCCAGGCCATTCGAGACGTGCTGGTTGCGAGGGGCTTACCTGTAGAAGAGTTCGCCCCCGCGGCGCAGCGCGTCACCTTCACTGGCCTCGACATCCTGGGCGACGTCGGCGTCATCAGGTGCAAGGTGGACCGGTTGTCTCGGTTGCGCCAGGCCCTACTTGGGCTACTCAGACGTGGCTTCGCATCTCCGCTTGCGTTGTCCGCCGTAGTCGGGCACTGCACCTGGGGGATGATCGCCAACAGGCCCATGCTCTCCATCTTCCACGCAGTCTACCGCTTCATGGGTCAGGACTCGCGTCGGGCTTTGCCGCTGTGGCCGTCAGTCGTCTCTGAGCTCCGTGCCGCTGCTTCCCTCATCCCGTTGTGGTGGGCTGATGTCAGGGCAGAGTGGGCGGCCACCACCTTTTGCAGCGACGCCTCTCCATACGGCATTGGCGTTTGTCGCAAGTTCGTGGAACAAGAGGTCGTTGCTGCCGCAGGTCGACTGTCCGAGAAATGGCGCTACCGCTTCTCCGATGCCGTGCACGCCCGCGCCCACGCTCTGGGAGTCGACCCGAACGTCGTGTTGGAAGCTGCCGTGAGCAAAAGAGGCCTCAAAGACTGCGAGCAGTGCCCGAGGCCTCCCGAGGCCCAAAGCAAGCCCTCGCCCACCGCATCATCATCACCTCGAGGGCTCGACGAGATTTCGCTGGACGGCTTCGACGAGGTTCCCGACTCGATCACGGCTTCCGACGGCTGGTCTACGATATATAGCGCACGGCATTCGGGGTTCGGTTTGGACATCATGCGATACGAGGCGGAGGCTCTCGGATTTGCGATGCGACACTCGTCTCGGTCTGGACGGCTTCGACATCATCGCATCCTGTTCGCCGTCGACAATTTGGCTCTAGCCCTTGCTGCTGGCAAGGGACGTTCTGGTGCCCGAGGGCTTCGCGATCCACTACGACGCCTCTGTGCTCTGTCCGCAGCTTCTGGCATTCGCCACGCTGTGCGATGGATCCCTAGCGAGAGCAATGCCGCAGATTCGCCGTCGAGGACAGGTTTCTTAGTCGGGCCGACCTTCGAGGAGCACCAAGCGGCTGCACCCCGAGTTTCGGCGCCAGCGAGCCACGACCGTGACGGAGCAGAGGACCAAGACGCATCCAGGACCACAACGGCTCGGGCGGGGTGCGCTCTCGGTCCTCGAGTCAGCTGCCGTGTCGGACACAACCATGGCCAACTACTGGGGCGCCGCCAAGAAGTTCGAGGAGTGGTGCCGCTGGACGTCCCAGACCTTCACCACGGCGGCGGAGGTCGATGTCATCCTAGTTACCTACTTCGTGAACCTCTTTCTGGACGGCTTCGACAGTGCTACGGGCCGAGTCCTGCTCGCCTCCTTGAAGCACTACCTGCCTTCGATCCTGGTGGGCAGGACGCCGTGCCCGCGTGCAGCTCGCGCCTTGACAGGCTGGCGGAAGCTCGTGCCCCCGCAGATGCGACTACCCCTTCCGCGGGCGGCGATGGCCTCCATCGTGGGCGTCCTCATCTCGTGGAAGCTCTTCGGCATGGCAGTGTTCGCCAGGCTGATGTTCGACACCTACCTGAGGCCCAGCGAGGCCTATCGGCTAACAGCGGGCAGCGTTATTCGACCAAGACCCAATGCCGCCCGCGGGTACGGACATTGGGCCCTGATCGTCAACGACGCCTGCCTCGATCGTCCTGGGAAGACAGGGGAGATGGACGAGAGCGTGATCGTCGACAACCCGACGCTCTGGCCCCTTCTCGACGCGCTGGTGCTGGGCAAGAAGACGAGCGACGGCCTCTGGACCTTCGCCCCCGACGAGGTGCGGAGCATGTTCCGTCGTGCTGCCGCTGCGCTCGGGTTGGAAGCCGAGATGACGCTCTACTCCCTTCGGCATGGGGGTGCGTCCGACGGCCTCCTGTCTCTCCGACGCACCAGGAAGGAGGTCAAGGACCGCGGCCGATGGAGGACGGACCAGAGCCTCCTCCGCTATGCCAAGAGGGCTCGTATGCAGCAGCGGATCGCCTCCCTAGGCCAGAACCTGATCGACTTCGGGCACGCGGTCGACTCGCAGATGAACGATCTCATTCTGCAGACCACCTCCTCAGGCGTCTTCCCGCTGCAAGTGCCGCTTGCCGTGACGCCGACACCGCCAGCGGTCAGGCCTCCGCCCCCGCGAGTGACAGCGCGGTGGGCCTTCGCCTGACGAGGATTTGGCGTTCAGCCAGGCGTGCTGCGACGCGGTCCAGGTACTCGCCCGCCCTAGTAATTGGCGGCGACGGCGGCGCGGCTCGCGCTCTGCAGCGCCTCGGCTTTGGCGTGCTGCACTTGAAAGTGAGACGCCATGTTACTGATGACATCACAGATCCTTTAGTGATGAAGCGCGTGCTCGGATGGATTCGTGCAGGCTGTATCTCGTGCGTGTGGGTGGAGCCCGACACGACTACGTGGCTCCCTCAGAAGCCCGCTGTCCGTAGCAAAGCTCGAGCCAACGGCCTGCCGAGTCTGTCCAGTGCCCAGCTTCGATCAGTTGCCATTGCGAATCTGTTTCTCAGTCATTTTGTGCGCCTTCTGTCAGTGTGTAGCGACAATAAGGTTCCAGCCGCGCTGTGTCATCCAGATGCGTCTTTCATCTGGGATGTCCCTTCTTGCAAAGCTATAGTTAGCCAATGTTCGTCTGCTGCCGTCTTCGATGCATGTATGTTCGCTGGCCGTATAAAGAGAAGATTTCGATTAGTGAGCTGGCATGTACAAGACATGAGTTCTCTTTCTGCTATCTGTTCGCCGGCCGACTCGCGTTGCTGCCGATCTGGGAAACGGCATCTTGGCGAGCTCGGCATCCCATCTTTAGATCGGCAGGTACGCAGCAAAGCGCTGCGGCTCCCCGCTAATGTTCTAAGATGCGCCTGCGACAGGATGGCTCTCAGTGTTGATTCGCTTCGCTACATTGCTCGGCAGATCAGAGCTGTGTGAATTCAGTTAATGCGGCTTTCAAGCCAGTGGGATGGGCTAGCCTAGGTACCTGGTGCATCGCGACAGCATGCGTCCGCTGTCCTCGCCTGTTGCCGAGTCCTTTGCACAAAAAGATAGCCCCTGGCCTCCAGAGTTGCCCACATATTGCTGCCCGCGGCTTTTTGTGGCTCTCTTTCGGGCCGCACTTCCATTCTCAAGCTTCTCCCGCCCGCCCTGTTTCCCGCTCTAGAATGTTGTGCCTGGTGCATCGCGACAGCATGCGTCCGCTGTCCTCGCCTGTTGCCGAGTCCTTTGCACAAAAAGATAGCCCCTGGCCTCCAGAGTTGCCCACACTACCATCATAAGCACCATTGCCATTTCCTTCACCATCACAACTATTGATATCATCACCATCTTCCTCACCACCATCATCATCACCATTACCACCATCATCATGACATCACCATCACCATCACCATCATCATCGTCATCATCATCGGCATCGTCATCGTCATTATCATCATCACCGTTATCATCATCAGCACTATTATCATCATCATCGTTACTGTCATCATCATCAGCATCATCATCAGTACCACTACTGTTACTTCCATCACCACTATCATCATCATCATCACCATCACCATCGTCATCGCCATGATCATCACCATCACCAGCATCATAATCACCATTATCCTTCTCATCATCACCATCATCATCATCATCTCCATCGCCATCATTACCATCGTCGCTGTCATCATCGCCATCATGAACACCATCGTCATCGTCAGCATCACAATCCTCACTACCGTCACCACCACCCTCATCACAATCACCACCACCATCATAATCAGCAGCACGTTTATCATCATTGTCGTCGTTCTCATCATCGGCATTATTATCATCATTAGCATGATCATCGTCATAATCAGTATCACCACCATCATCATCATCATCATCGTCATCGTCTTTATTACCATCTTCATCATCACCATCATCATCCTCATCATCATCGGCATCATGATCATCACCACCATCATCATCAGCGCCACAATTATCATCACCACCACTTCGCCATCATCATCAGCATCATCACCACCATCAACATCACCATCACCATCACCATCACCATCACCATCACCATCACCATCACCATGACCATCACCATCACCATCACCATTATTATCATAATTGCCAGCACCACCGTCACCATCACCATCACATTTATCATGTTTTTTTTTTTTATCGTCATCATCATCGTCGTCATCATCATCATCATCAGCATGCTCATCATCATAATTAGCATTTCCACCACCATCATCACCATTGTCATCGTCATCGTCATCGCCATCGTTCTCATAGGCATCGTCTTTGCCATCATCACGTCATCGTCATCACCATCACCGTCGTCATCATCGTCGTCAGCATCATAGTCATGGTTACCGTCATCATCACTTATCGCCATCATCATCACCACCATAATCATCATCACCATCATCATCATTATCATCACGTCCAGCATCGCAGTCATCATCATCGTCATCGTCATCATCATCACCATAATGCTCTTCATTACCACTATCACCATCATCATCGAACCTTCGACCACCAGCACCTTTACCATCACCAGTACCTCCATCATCATCACCATTATCACCATCTTTAGTACGTAGCACCCCGCAATTGCGGATAAGAGTGAGGGGGCGGGCGCGGGCGACGCGGGCGTCGTCGAGCCGGCGGACCTCGTGGCCCCCACCTTCCCTGTCGATGGCGCTCTCCTCCTCCTCCTCCTCCTCCTCGTCCTCCTCCTCCTCCTCCTCTTCCTCGTCCTCGTCCTCATCGTCATCGTCATCCTCCTCCTCCACCTCGTCCTCCTCCTCCTCCTCTCTTCTCGTCCTCCCTCTCCCCCCCTCGTCCTTTCATCATCGTCCTCCCATTGTCGTCCTCCCCCTCATCGGCCTCCATCATCGTCCTCCCATTGTCGTCCATCATCATCATCATCATCATCATCATCATCATCATCATCATCATCATCATCATCATCATCATCATCATCATCATCATCATCATCATCCTCCCCCTCCTCGTCCTCCTCCCCCTCCTCCCCCTCCTCGTCCTCCTGCTCTCCTCCTTTTCTTTCTCCACATTATCCTTACATCCTCTCTTCTTCCGCGTTCTCCTCGTCCCCTGTTTACTCCTCCTGCCTCCCCCTCCTTTCCCAAGATAACTGCAACGCAATCCTTTTTTCCACTTTATGCTCCCCGCCTTCTCTGATCAAGGCAACTCGCCAGGGCAGAGTTGCTGGACGGGCTGGTGTGGATGCGCGGGGCTTGAAGAGGTCCTTGCGGGCTCAGACGGCATGCGAAAACCTGATCGGACAAGAACGGGAAGCGCCGCTTTAGTCTATTGGGCGTATTGGGCGAAGAAGAAAAGGAAGGCGAGGACAACGAGGAGTCGATGACGAGGACGACGTGGCGAACGTGAGGATAGCGCGGAGGAGCATGAGGACAACGAGGAGGAAGAGAAGCACAAGGACGAGGACGAAGAGAACGAGGGCGAGTACGAGGAGGAATGCGGAGGGCGACGACGACGACGACGAGACGACGACGACGACGACGACGACGACGACGACAGAGGACAGTACGAGGCAATTGGAGAAAGACGTTGCTCCTGGCGCCGCGCGGGGTTCTCTTGGGGCCTGTTGGGGGCTTCTTGGGGGCCCCTTGGGTCCTCTTATGGGCTTCTGGGGTCTTCTTGGGCTGTCTGGGCGCGTCGTGGGGTTCTGTGGGAGCTTTCTTAGGCCGTCTCGGCGCTGGGGGCCTCCTGGGGCGCTCCCGGGAGTCTCTTGGGGCCTTCTTGGCCCTTCTTGGGCCGTCTTGGGGTTCTCGTGAGCTGTGTGGGTGGCTCCTAGAGCGCTCTTGGGGGTCTCTGGGGGTCTTCTTGGGGCGCTCTTGGTCGGCGATCTTCTGACCCGGGTCAATCCAGACCCGGGTCAGCAGGAAACCAAAAACTGCAATGCAGGAAAAAAACTGCAACGCAAATCTTCGCAAACCCGGGTCAGCCAATACGCGCGGCCGCCTCGCGGCCACGAGCGGCTCGCTAACCCGGGTCAGCCAGAGGGGGTCTTCGCAGGATCCTGCAGGATCTGGCGCCCTGGCTGACCCCCGTTTGCATTGACCCCCGTCTCAAGGCTCCCGACTTGGGCGCTCCTGGGGCTCTCCGTGGCGTCTTTTGGGCTTCCCTTGGGCCGTTGGAAAACACTCCAAGAGCGATTCGAACACGACGTCGACGTCTTGGCGTTATCTTGGACTGTCTTGGCGTTATCTTGGACTGTCGTGGGGCTCTGGGGGCCTGATTGGGGCCCGTGGGGAGCATTTTGGGAGCCTCTTGGAGGCTTCTGTGACCCTCTTGGACTCAGGCGTCTCTCGAGGGTCTGTGGGGGCTCTCTTGGGCTGTCTTGGCGTTCTCTTGGACCGTCTTGGGGCTCTCTTGGCCAGTCCTGGGGCCTCTTCGCGCGCTCGGGGGGGCCTCTGGGCGCCTCTTGAGGGCCTCTTCGGGGTCTCTTGGGCCGTTTTGGGGATCCCCTGGGGGGCCTTTGGGGGCTCTCTTGGGCAGTTTTGAGGCCCTCCAGGAGCGACTCCAAGATAATGCCGGTTCGGAATCCCCTCCAGAGCCGATTTTTCGAGGATGTCTCGAGCGAAACGGCCATTTTTCCGGAACCTGACCGGACAAGAACGGGAAGCGCCGTTTTTTATCCACCACGTGCGTCAGAGACCGTATTGGCGAGAACGTCAGAGAAACCCATAAACGCAACAAAACAGACTAAATGGTGGCCTGCCGCGCTGGTCTGTCGAGGTAGTCTGCTGCCCTGGCCACATCATGGTGTCGACACCGTGCTTTTCTCTCGGCCACGCGGGCCCCCACCCGTTGTCGCCCAGCCTACTTTTTCTGTTCCAGCCTGTCTTGTCTTTTGTTTGTCCGTCGTCGTCGTCGCGTGCCTTTCCTTTGTCGTGGTCGTCGTTTTCATTATAATCGTCCGCTGTTGCCGTTCTCGCTGTCGCCGTCGTTCTCATTTTATGATTGCGGTCGTTTTTCTGATTGTTTTTTTGTTGTTGGATTCCGTGTTCGGTTGGTTTTTGTGTTATGTTTGTGGTCGTTTTCTGTCATCGTTTTTTGTCGTAATTTTCGAGATCGTTATTGACGAAGACGACGACGACGATGACGACGACGACGATCTGCCGTGCTTCTGTGGCGTCTGCGGTGCTCCTGTGGTCTGCCGTGCTCCTTCTTGGTTTGCCGTGCTCCTGTGTGGTCTGCCGTGCTCCTGTGCGGTCTTCCGTGCTCCTGTGGTCTGCCGTGCTCCTTTGGGGTCTGCCGTGCTCCTGTGGA